CCATCGTCGCAAAGTTGACGAAGCTAGAATTCGTTGCGACTCTAGATCCGAGATGCAAGGACCTGCCACCAGCTGAATAAGCCAAGATCCAGGGCGCTCAAGCCTGAGCCCTGTGCGCTCTACCACTCCAAGTTATTTGCGTGGCTCTGCGTGGGCATCTTGCCTCAATTGATCCTTGAATCGAGGCCTTCCCGGGCAGCTTCGCCCACGATCCATGAGGTGCCACCAACAACCACCTCTTTTGTGAGGTCCACAATCCATCACCACCTAACTAGTTTCTGTTCGTAAAAGAGACACGGCGTTAGCCATTTAGCCGTTTCCCTCGTGCCTAGACGTTTGAAATTCTACAACAAACCCAATTTCACCAATCTTGCGTTGACAGCAATCCCCACAATCGGCCGCTGCTGAATGCAATGCTGGGCTTCACCTTCTCTGTCGCCTTGTCAGAGGGTTTCAGAGTCACCCTCTGTTGTTTTGTCGGCATCAACAGAGGATGAAAAGTCTTGGCCCCAAAAGTTTGGGGCCGGAAGTTGGCTCCGGTCCACCAGCCCAGCACTGAATTTCAGTTCTAAGCTATGGCGAGCTACACGATCAGGCCCTTCTGAACGCGATTCCTATCGCTGCACTTCCTCACAAGCACCACGCCGATCTCCTGTCTCAATGGCGTGGATAGTTTTGTGCGGGCGGCTCTGTTTCGCCGCCGCGAACGCGTGCTCCTCGAAACTGCGAAAACGGCCGTTTTCGCGAAATCGTTGAAAAACCGATGGGTTTCTTGCAAGAGGACCATTGCTACAAAGTACTGCCAAATCATCACTACTTAACAGATTGACTTCAAATTTTGACCGTATATTTTCAAAAGGTAGATACAGCTTTGGACAAATTTTCATTGAAAAAATATTATATACGATGGAGAAATAATACGCCCAACTCGTAGAGGATATTTAATATGGGACGGAAGAAGTATACACTATGGGAGCCCATTTCTTTCTGTCTACCCCATTGTACAAGGCCTGTCCATAGGCTAGCAAACCCTCCCCCTTCAGAGATTCTCATTTACAATATACTTAGTGTGTATTCCCATCACACCCTACCTCCGTTCGGGCCCGCTTTGCCCCAGTGGATGCATGGCCACCCTAGTAGCCTGCAACATGCTTCACCATAGCACCGCTTCCAGAGGCGCCCCCAATGTGGTCAATGGGGCACCAGGTATCACCATCAGCACAAAAGCAACTCCCACCCTACTGCTGATTGACGCAACCTCAGGATTATTGGTCAGCGACAGCCTTTGGATACCCTGATAGCTGGTGGCTGTCATAGGTTTGGAGCCCCCTCTGCGTTGGCTTCCGGATCCGAGTCCCCCAAGTCCCCCATCACCATATGCCCATAACCGAACAAATCCGACAATGGGGCGCCGCCGCCAACGGACGCCCCCTGCCCCTGCCACCTCCATTTCCACACGATCGGATCCCTCACCATGGGGGTTGTTGTCTACCATTGTAGGTGCCCTCTGCCTTGCCCCGTGCATCTCCCATGAGATGTTGTGGAGCACCGCCTTGGTGAAGTTGGGCCAGGGGACAGGACTCCCCAGCCTTCACAAGCGGCAGCTTTGTCTACTTGTTCTTGCCACCCATCACAACAAGTGCAAACTGCACAGTGCAGGGGCAGGGGCACCACGTTTGTGGACAGCGGGGCATGCGGCCCACACGTCAAATCCGATTGCCGCAATCTCATGGGTACATGCATGAATTTGATGTTGTTATGTACCGTGAGACAGACCATTGAACGCGCTTTAGAACGACCTAGAATGGCCTCTAGAATGTCCTGGAACGGCCTATGGAATGGCTTGGAACAGACTCTAGAATACCATGGGCAATACAGGAATGGATTTTTGACATGACTGTACTATGTTGGAATGGAATTGGGATGGCTGCACACCATTCCAAATCGATCCTGACCCCATTGCAGCCCAGGGACGAACCATTCCTTAGCCGTTCCTGGGCCAACGGGCCCAAGAATCAGAACGGACTATAGTCTGTTCCTGTTCCCGTTCCTATTCTTAGTCTGTCCCCATTCCTGGACAGCCCACCTCTGGAGCGCCCCGCACGTGTGCCCAAGTCGTGCGCTACTGTGAGACCTAGTGCCGTGCCAACTCAAAAGCAAAGGCAACAAGGGCTGGCGCCCGGAGAAAAGGAGACCCCACCTACCCCTGGCACACGCCGCCGGCAAGCAGCCCAAAACGTGGCATCGAGATTGGCAGCCACGGCGCTGCCTCTCAACAAGGGGCTTTTTCAAAGCTTGCACCTCACGCCATTCGCTGCAGATCGCCAACAATGGCATCAGACAATGAATATATGTGTTTCCTGCCTGAGTCCATCATGAAATCGCTCACGCCTTTACCCTCCTCCCACTTAATCCAAGCCCATCAAACCCTTGCACGGACTGAACGACTTGCAAAATTGCCGCCTTCCATGGGTGTTCTCTATGTTGCATGCCATTGCTGGCACTTAGGAATCTTATTCTTGACGCCCCGTCCAATCTAGCCCAGTCCCCACTGTATTCATGATTCCTGGAACTACTTGCACAGGTGTCTAATACACAAGTATCCCGTACCACTAATATTTCCACCATCCTATGCAGTCGGCCAGGGTTCCCATAGCTATTCGGTTTGCTTCCGAGTCGCCATGATTGGTTGCGCCCCCAAATGGACCTGCCTTTCTAACGCCCCAAATTACATGTCTCGTCACTACCCTGGCGTGGTTAAATTGGGTAGTTTGTTTGCCTGCTGCCTTCCTTCCATGGGATTGGTCAGTATCATTCTCAAAAACTCCCAGAGGACTCTGGTATTTCCCTTGGTACCTACTAGTGGTGGGCCCGCTGTTCCCTCGGTACATGCCATCGTCCTAAAGTCGGTGTTTGGCATTCTCACTCATGGTATCCTTGGCGGGATTGTGGTCCACCCCAAGACCACGAGGCTTTGGCTTGGCAAGACCGGTTTTGACCGACGCCACTCAGCCTCATCAGCTCCCTTTAAGCCTTGCTCCCATTCCCTTACATGCAAGGAAGGCTGTGGGAGTGCTTGCAACACTCAGTGTGAACGCCTTTCCATTAACCCAAACCCTGATGAGGTTACAACAATAACCACTCCAGTGCCACATCCGCCACCAATATAGCTTGCATTCCCCAGGTAGGCCTCACTAGGATTATTCAAAGATTCGTCGATGCAACCCAGTGTGAATCACATTCGATGAACTTAACAGATTGTAGATCTCCTCACCCATACACCAAGTCTCATGGTATGCGGGAGCAACATCAGCCTGTAGGCGTGGTCCACCCCGCCAAAACGTTTGAATACCAAATCATGGAGATTGGGCTGGTGCGGTTCAAGATCGTTCATGCGAAGCCTACAAACGTGAAACACTGAGCTTATGCGTTTGCGCTATCTGCTTAGTTTGCTAGGATTGCTAGCTGCTTTGATCGATGCCAGGGAAATTGCGAATGTTTCTAGCACTCTCCAATCCCTTGCAACGACCAAGTCTCTCTCGATTGACCACAGCAATCTGCGGGGCCTTGCAGGCCTCAAGAGGCCATGCTACATCCTCCTTGTTCGAGTCCAAACAGGTTGCTGTACAGCAAGTGGTGTGTTGTGCTGTTTCTCGCCCCAGGACTTGGCAAGGAGGGGCACGACGTCCTTCCCTGATCGGCAGCACCATGGCTGCTGCTCTTGCTGCCGCGGCTCATGCTGCTTGTCGGCGGTGTGCGCCTGGGATGGGCAGGATGGGTGGGATATCCTGATCTCCGGGCGCCAGCCCTTGCTGCCCTCTCTTTTGGGCCGGCAAGGCGCAAGGGGCTCACAACAGCCCACGACTTGGGCGCAGGCGCGGGGCGCTCCTCATATGCAGGGAGCATGACCGACACGATGCATGATGTATCGGGCATACAGGCGACTGGCCCCCTCCGCGGACTGCATACACTAATAGTTACATAGTTACATAGATACCCAGTAGTTATACCAGTAGCATACTGATAGTTCCACCCCATGCGGGCTCCGCCTAAAATGGTGTCCACGAATAATCCCACTGCCATGGACCCACAGCATTTGGTCGCGAAGCAAATTGTTCCTGTGGATTGGGGCGCAAGCAATCAGAGACCTTGGCACCGCCAAATTGGTATGCATTGGTTAGGTCGGCGGGCATCCTCTATCCATGAGGAGCCAATGACTACCACTCTTCTTGTTTTGCTCCCTGCCGCCCACACCCAACACAAATGTCCGATACCCTTCATTCCCAGACATGAAGTCATGAAGGTCATGAAGGTGATGAAGGTCATGATATCATGAATTAATTAACTTGTGAAGGTCACAAAGGTCACGAAAGTTAGTTTTGGGCTTAGGGTATTTTAGAATTTAGAATTTTAGTCCCTAGTACCCTTCATTACCTTCATGACCACTTCATAACCTTCATATCCGGTAAGGATAGGTATTGGACAATCCGCTGGTGGGCAGGTCCTCGCACGCTCACCATTACATCCCACACTCCGACCATCCACACCTGATCATACACGCTCGCCTGCGTGCATGTTTCTTGCTATTACATTGATGCTCGATGTTCTCTCATTGTACTTGCCTTGCCTTGTTCTGTCCTAGGGCTCCCAGTAAATCTCCTTAAAGTTGGTGGAAATGGGATTCATGTTGCGTCATTCTGTCCTGTAGCAATTCCATCACCCCACCCCCACCCCACCTTCCCACAGCCCCCACCCTTGACCCGCATCAATCCATATTGTGATGTCATGGCTGCACTTGGAGGTGCGTAACACTGGCGTCAACACATGCAAAATTTTGGCATCGACTGGCTGGGCTGTTGCAGCACAAGATCGGCAATGCCCTGTTGTGTGCTCGAGCTTCCCACAACAATCAACATGGCTTCTCGTTCCTACGCTGTCGCTTCTCCCTGGTCTGTGCCCAATACTGGTCCATCAGCCGGTCGGTCATCAGGAACTGGCAATCACGAGGTGTCCACCACCAAAGGTCTCTGCTGATTGCCATCAACCATCTGTCGCCGATCACCGCCGTTTGTGTCCCTCAATTCGTTGTCCTCGGAGCCATGAGCAGACAGTCTTGTTTGCCGTCCAGTCCTGTGGACTAGCTCCCGGCGACAGCAGCCCGCTATGTCCGACTTGGGCACAAGTGTGGGAATTGAAAGCTCTTCGCTGGACTGTCCTGTGGGATAGCGCCCAACGAAAGCAAGCCACCAAGACCGCAAATACCTATCCTTGAGCAATTGCGGGGCCAACGGGCAAGTATGTGGCAAGGTTTTCGCACACTGTCGAGGCTCCACCCTCGTCCAACCATATCTTGATTCTGGTGCTGCACCGTGCTCCATTAGCGCCCACGGTCTGAAACCCTCATCAACGTCCACTGAGCGTGGCGCTCAAATGGAGGTGCATTCCAATCAAAGCGTCTTTCCTGAGAGGGTGTGGAGGGCAGATATTGTGGAACCGGGTCAGCACCATCCGTATCGTTCAGATGACAAGCGTTTTCGTTCATCCTGTTTGCACCGACTATACAATTATTACACCTGCAATGGGCTGCTGGTTCAGTGGCAGCAGTGATCTTGAACGCCACCATAGCCCAAAGATCTATTCGTCATGCGACGTTCCAATTGTCTGGACCGTGGGAATAGGACCTTGTGCCAGGTATGGCAGCGGATGAGTCGCCCATGGCTGTCTTCATTCGTTCCTATCATCAGCAAACGTTTTAACTATCCGAGCCAATCGTATGGCGACCGCTGTCAAAATTGAGTGCAGATTAGATGCCAGGGGTGGCGCCACATCACTGTCTTGGTGCAAGTCCTGAAGTTTAATCAGACTCGGCTAGGGGCACAGTCTACCCCATGTTATTGTCGGCACTATGCAGTGCAGCCCTACTAATGATGCATGCACTTGCGCCTGCGGCCCCAAGCCAACCTGCAAGGTGGGAATTTGAAACATCAGCGCTTGGAGAGTGCGGCTGCAGCCAGGATAGCCGCCCCTAGGCAAGAGCCGCCCTTGCATTGCTTCAACTCCACGGAGGGTGCCTCATCACCATACACCCATTCTGCAGCATGCACAGAACAGAAACGTCACGCAAAGCAGGGGCGCCCACATAGGAGCAGATGACAAACTGCTGTCAACTGCGCAGAGTGCTTGGGTTCGAACGAGCAGGAAGACAAGCAAGGTGTGGCTCATACACAGATCACCATTGGTGACTATTGTCTTGGTGACAGTGACCGTACGACCTCACAGTGATCTGCACAATTACAACCGAAGCAGCTACTCAAATAGCCAATGCCGCATCGTTGCCTTGAACGTGCCTGGGGTTGCTTTGTCAGCCTCCAGCGAGACATGGAATAAAGCACAGACCTAACCAAGGGTGGACAGCTAAGCTGCGCAAGAGCTGTGCTGTGCACGTAATGAGAAGACTGGCGTGTCAGCATAGTATTGCCCTGTGGCTGTGACATGGGGGCTGCTGTGGATGTGGGACCGCGTTGCACTGCACATGATGCAGGTGCATGTAATCTGGCCCAATTGCACATCACAGGCGCCAAAGCTGCCACAGCAAGCTTCTCAACCTTGTACCAGATGGAAGCCAGTATTGGTAATGGCTTTCAAACCCAATGGACTGTCTGTCGCCTGGCGCTCAACAAGCAGGCCTTGCCAATTCCAATTTCTACTCTGAATGTTGTGCCAAAGTGCACTTATTGAGCAAAATGAAGATGCCTCTTTCCCCAGCAGATACTGAATATGACTGGTGTATGTGTTTGTGTGTTAGTCAGCATGACGGGCAAAATGTTTCTGTTTTCCATTGTCGCGATGAAGAACATCATGTGGCAAAGAGTCGCACATTTCCACAACAAAAGTAATGTGCATACCCAGAATCTGATCAGTAGCGCCGCGGATCCTTGCTCTCAGGCTGTCGAAATTCTCGTAGCATCCGCCATCGAACATGACAACCGTTGGCCTCGACACAGGGTGGCCACAGTTCTCTCGAACATGCTGCACCACAGCAACAAGGGCCATCGCCAAAAGGACGGCGCACCGGTGGGCAACCATGCCACAAATGTCCTTCACCTGCAGCCAACAGCAAGTGAGGGCTGCTGATCGACGCAGTTCCAGGACCTCGGCATATTTGACAGACGAACATGCACTGTACTGAGCCCTTTCATATCCAGGAATCCCAAATCTCAACCACAGTATTGTGCCAGTGTTGTCCCCCTGAATCAACTCACCATTTGCCGGTCAGCCAAGGATGCTGTGACAGATATGTGGGACTGGATCACTTTTCCCGTGGTCTCTAAACCTGCCGTGTTGTCTGCATCGATGTATGAAATGCATGCAGTCGGAAAGGCGCCGACTGCCTCCAGCCTAGGAGGCACGCCACCCCTGAACAGGGCGCCCTCCCGGGCCATCGTTGCCATCATGTGCCGCGCGATCTCTCCGAGACTGGCACCCGCCGTCATCTTTTCCAAGTCGAATTTGCCTGCGATCGCCACGAAAACTTTCAGGGCCAACCACACTACATTCTGCTGCTCACTGTGTGTTCGACAGAAACTGCCAGCTAAGTGCAATGCAACTAACAGACGCTTAAGCTAAATTCTAGACTCTAATAAGACACGAAATAGGTGGAAGCCCTTCATTTACAGTGTCTGTCCAGACTCCTGTTCACAACCAGCGCAGTAGGACACTATATGTAGAGTTTTCAGCAAACCATATGGTCTGTTTAGAGGCACCACGAGCACAACTGGCATCAACTGCTCAAATTTGGGCATCAACCAGAAAACACAAATACGTACCTGGACAGGGGCTCTCAAGGTCCACTCGGAGATCTTCCAAGCATTTAGGCAGTAGGTCACTGCAGTAACAACCCCACTCTGTGTTCACACCCGTGACTGTGTCACCAGGGACACTGGCCACCTTCCATTTGCTCAGCTTGGATGCGACTTCCTTGAAAAGTGGCAGGAACCACAACTGTCAGCCACATTCCTTTGTTTGTATTTCTCATATCCCCTGCACTTTTGTTACATTTCTTCGACCGCAAAGAGATGAAACACCAATAACCACTTCCATCGTCCAATGGACCAATGCATCCAACAGCACAACACCCATCTTTCCCAGGAAGAGCAACCCACACCCAGTGGGCACAATGGGGCATGGCTTTTCTCTCCATTCTGGGTGTGAGTAGTGTAGACAGCACTGACAAACTCGGGTCAAAGTTTCAATTTGTGGTCCTGTTTGTAGGCCCACTAGCATGAGACTGTTGGATGACAATGCATTCTAATGTTCCACACAAAAGTGTGGAACAATCATGAGGATGATTACCCACAGATCATTGACTGACAATGGGCAGAGCCAATGTTTTCCTGGGCTTCCAGAGGCGCTTTCGTTGCACCTATGCGATCAACCTGCACACAGAAGCTGATCCAATACGTGAAATGGCCTGAGGCTTGGCTTCGCTAAAGGAACACCAGCGACAGACCTATTAACAACACTGCTGAACGTTTTCTTCTTCATCAATGCACAGGTGACCGGGAAGTTATAGTTTGAATTTGTTGGCAAGTGCAGCTGTGGAAGACTTTCACCAGGAAAACGAAGCATATCGGCATTGACACTGAGTCCCGTGGCCAGAGGTACTCGCTGCCAGTGTTTTTCAAGTGCCAACACCGTTCACAATCTGTAAAGAACTACTCTGTGACTTCTGCTTTCCTTTCTTTGCTCCAAGGCTTCCATCACATGGCTGTGTGCAGATTCTGCCCCTGTCCTGTCAAAATAGAATATCTGTCACCTCTACAAATGTGTGCACTTCATAGCAGTGTTCGCAACTGCGCATCAGCTGAGAGGCAGTGCCAGTATTTTCCTTCTAAGAATGGTTCTTGCAGTTGTTGAGGTGCACACACTTTGACAAGTCCCTTGCAGCAAAAAGGGATCACACTCTGCTTGGGCGGGGTACAGCAAATGGAGCTGATGAATGGCTATTCATGCACCAGTTTTACGTACTAAGGGAGTCATAAAATGCAGCCTTGGACTGTTTGAGGGTGCACATTATCAAGAACTTGACTGGGGCTGCGAATAATTGGTAACCAGCAGCTTCTCTGCCACAGCGGACATTGCTGGAACGTCTGGTCCGCACAAGATCGCAACCAAGGCAGCCAGCAAAGTTCACATACCACACAAGCGGCATTGGTACCAGTGCCCAAGATTACTCCGATGTCTGTGCGGTCATCTTCGTATCTGTAAACACAGATGCACACTCTGCTCATGCTACACCATGCAGTGCAAAGCTTCACAGCCTTGACTAAATCAACAGCCTGTTTCACACGGCACAGTGCCCAGGTCTCTGGGTGCTTGTCTGCAGTCACAACCAAACTAGCACTTGGTACAGACAGCAGGGAAGTGATGCATGACCACTGTGCAACTGTTGTGGCAGCAGCCATAGAACCACACAATCGGCATGTAACGAACAAGGACCTTGTAGGTGCGAAAGTGCTGAGCATCCGATAGAAAACGTGCTGAACACAACAACACCTCACAGCCAGTGAGCGCAAGCAGAGGTGCACAACGCGGACATCGACAAGGTGACGGTTGGATATGACACGCATGATGACTTCAAAACTTGTGCTTGCTTGGTGGCAATTACACGCTGGCAAAGTTCTGTACCACTGGCTTCCAGCGGTCCAGGTGGAAACCCAGCCATCGTGCATGCCCACCGAAAGGTGCAGCAGTGAAGGACAGTAAGTGCACTGAAGAGGACAATGGTCAACAGAAAACAACTTTGCCATGCAGATCTGCCTGGTACACTGTCCACAATGCGGCACAGCACAGTGCATGCTCTTATCAATCAGGCGGAAAAGTAACACAATGTGGCACATATTAGACCAACACCTGCCAGCCGCCAAAACGCCAATGGTGTCATTCAGTATAACATGGACTTCCGCTGGAAGGCCCACCCTGTCGAATGCCTCTGTACAGCCACCAAGAACGCCCCTCAGGGTGATTCCACTCATGCAACAAATTTTGCAAGCAAATGTGCTCTTGGCATGGTACTACTGACAAGACAAGCACTAAGCAGTTTAGGTAGCACTCTACCAACACTCCACCATAGAATTCAGGCAATGAAACGACCTGGAATGCAGATGCAATTCCACTGTTCCTGCACCTTGTGGAATGCTGCAACCACAGGGTGCATGTTGAAGCCATTGCTGGCAGCAAGACTGCCTAAGCTCATGCAGCACTATGACTTACTGCACACAACAAAATTTGGAACAAGGCACAGTTGTCAAGTGATTGTAACAGAGTGGCAATGAATCACATCCCATCTTACACTAATTGTGTACTTGTGCATTCATCCATGATTTGTTCAACGTTTTAACAACAAGATGTGAGACATGGGCCTTGAAAGGAATCCACACAAAACCAGTGTGTTCAGATCCCACCTTCCAGCATGGCAGATGCATCTTTGCCAATTCCTCCCTCACACTCATAACCCTGCACACCCAATCAAACTCGACCAGTCACATTTGTTTGCGTTGGCCATTCCTTTCCATTCACCATAGCAAACACACATCTTGCTGTCAGTTATCACTCCAACACCAGAAATTCAACATTGCACCAGGTTTCCTAAGTCCACTTTGCAAAAGTTCCATTGTGGTGAGTGCAGCCACAGCAGCACATCCACTAACTTGGCTAACTCGTGCCAGGGAGAGTAAGAAATGATGCAAAATTGTTTCTTTTTGTGTTTCTTTTAGGCGATGTGTCCTTAAGTTGCAGGCATGAGTGACGAAGGTGCCCTCCCTGTTGTCCATGTGTTTGGCCCTTTCAAACTGCTGCAGTCCCATTCAGCCACAGCATCCAAATGCGGCACCAGAACTGTTTGGCTGCAATGCTGTCAGGCGAATGCACGCGTGCTTACACCAAACAAAGCTAAATACCGCAGTGATTTCGTCTGTCACTGCTGCATAATGACACCTCTACAGTGTCCGATTCCAACGATCTGCGACCACCCAAGGACAGGGTCCCAGTTTCTAGGTGGATGGCTGCCCCCAGCTTGGAAGTCAGAGCACAGTACGTGAAAACATATGAAATTCGCAGCCTGTTTGAAGCACTCAGATGACTATCCATGTTTCCTTTGCCGCAACAGCTACCAACCCATAATGTATACCAGCCAGCTGCACTGTAGGCTGTCGAGTTGGATGTTGGCCATTACTGCACAAGGGAGACTTACCATTAGGTTTGAGGAAAGTGAAAATTGGCCTGGGAGTGCGAGATAGCTTTAAAACAGGTTGCCTATGGCCATACTGACTCAATATACAACAGTGTTGGCAATGCCAGCTACTGAAGTCTCCAGTGCAGACACCACATGAGCAGCGGAGCTCCCCTGCGCTACTGGGATCACCGATTGACAGCAAACATGTATAAGGAACCGTAACTGAACAAGGATCGTAAATCAGCATGGTGCCGTACAACAGCTGGAGACATCCCAAACTGGACTATGTCCAACTGGGAGGTGTACAAAAGCATTGCATCAGCAGACCAGGTTGATATTTGCAATCCCCACCATTCCGCCATTTGGGCTGTGGACAAGAATTCATACAGCAGGGATTGTAACAGGATGATTGCTCCCTGTTGGCACCCAAATCAGGGCCATCACAGCAGCCTACAATATAGGGCCCATGTGTGCAGATGAAAGGCTTTGAGCCAGTGCGAACTTGACTGCACTGAGCATAAATCTTACATAGGGTGGATTTGTGATGGCCACAACTGGGAAAAACGTCCCACCCAGGCCTCTTCAACAAGAGCTCAAATCGGAACACAAAGCTGGATGCGGCTCTGCACATTATTGCAAACAGTCGGCAAACCAGACAAATTGGCAACCATATGAAACAGCAGCACTGACAGCAAAAGCAGACTTGATGTTACAATAACCCGTGCCCAGTCTGTGAAACTTGCCGAACAGGTAGAGTGTTCTTGCATTTTGGAACCACACATGCATGCTTTACCAGGCCACCTCTGGCCCCACATCTTAATAAACCAAATGCCCTGCCTGCCTCGCAGGCACAGGCCAACACCGATCAAAAGCATCCGACCTTCAACTCACACAGATCGTGCAACCGAAACTGAGCTGGGACAAGCGTTAAACCCCTAAAAACTCGGTTAAACTTTGGCACACAAGCAGCGATGCCACTCTGGCTCGTGGCCCAAATTGTCCAGCAACCTGAAACATTCGCTCGCAGTTCCCTCTAGAATATCTGAGACCTCAAGGGCTGGAGTGAAGGCGGACCCAACACTGTTATTGTCCAATTCGTCACCCTCAACAATGAGGCAGCAAGAAGTCCCTATACTGCACTAATTTTTGCCAGTAAGCATGCTGGTCTGTATGATCCTGTAGTCCGATCCTAAACGCAAGGATCCTACGCAACTGGTACCAAAACATCTATGGGAGTCAGGAATGCATTGTCTCATAGTCAAAAACTTTCCCTAGGTGTCCCCAACAAAGAACAGTCTTGAGAATTCTGAACATAAACGTGGCAACTAGGCAGGGGTAGTGGGTTTTTTGAAGAAACCAGAGCTGAACCATTCCACAACGGCCACTGCAAACCGGATCCTGGGCCAGAAACTCAGCCACGACTGCCATGGCTCACAGCAACACAGAAAGCCGAAAACCAGACCCGAAACCATCAAGGGAACACCTCCAGAGGATTCACTGCTGTAGAACGGGCAACCAAGCGCTCGCAGGTCATGGCGCAGCGGGCGGCCAGCTCCCTTGGGCCGTGACACCCGGGCAGGGAACCGCGCCATGAGCCCAGAACCCAGAGCCCCATGCCCGAAGCGCCTCTTCGGAACCACCGCGTGCTGCTGGCAGCCAGCCTGTTTGCCACTGGCACCCAGCCGATGATTGTCGTCACGGTGCTGCTGTTGCCGCTGTGGCGCCGCGCTGGCTGCTCCAGCCCCGCGGGGTCTGCGCGGGCCGCGGTGCAGCTCCCAGTGGCCCGGTTACAGGTTACACGGATACATCCTTACAGGGCGCCCGCAGTCAGCGCAACCGTCAAAGACTGCCCTGCAACGCCCCGAGATGCCCGGCGACAAATCTGCGTCTACAGTGGCGCCACCGGCGCCAGCCGACGACGGTGAAAGCGATACGATGCCAGGGTCACAATAAATAGAACGCCGGCGACGTCGCGCCGACGCAGCCCGTCAACCGCCGTCAGAGATGCGTCATGCTGCTGTCGCTCGGCCGAGCGCAACCGACAATCGAGCCGTCTCCTTCCTCCCCGTCGCCCTCGCAATGCGCACAGGTGCCGAACAGCGCAGCGCACGCTGAAATAGGGCGACGGCGTCCAGAATCCGGGCGCATCCCATCAGCCCGCAGCATCCCACCCTGGCTACCAGCGACCAAACACCAACCGCGACCCTGCTCGACCACAAAGTCTACGTCCCGCGTCTAGATCGCCCCCTCGTCCTTCGCCCCAAACTTGCCATGCCCACCGCCAACGCCCCTTCGCAGTCATCCCACGCCGACCACCGCCCTCCCCAAGCCGCCTCAAATCCACCGACGTCCCCCCAACCGTCGCAAACGCTGCGCGAACGCCCCCCCAAGCCTCCGCCCCCGCCCTCCGTCGGCCCCCTCCCTCCAATCCGCTCTTCCCATGGGCCCCATCCCGAGGCAACCCCACCGCAGCCGAGGCGACACCCATCTTGACGACTCGGTACGTGGCGGACGACTCATCCACTCACAGTCCCCCCCGCCGCAAAAACGCGCCCCCGGCGCCGATGCACTGACCCGACAGCCCCAGAGGCGCCAGCGCCTCGAGGCCGCCGCCGACATGCGCCCGCGACCACTCCCGCCAGGCCGGCGAACTTTCCCGGAGCTTTTGAATCATTAGAGCCGCCGGGGCGGTCCAAACCGAGCAACCCTTCGGCCCCGCCCCGCGGACGTCAAACGCCGGGCGTCGGCCGGCCCCCGCCGCGTGAAACGCCCGTCTCCGGGCATCCCGGGCGTCACGAGGACTCCCGGTAGACCAGGGCGCTCCTCAGCACCGACACCGCCGCCAGTTCCTTGCGCGTGAGCCCGAACTCCGACCCCGTGCCGAACTTCTCGAGGGCGTACTGCACCTCCGGCTTGGCCAGCATGCCCTCGATCGCCAGCGCCGCCCGCCGTGGCGTTGGTATCTGCCGCAAGGCGTCCATCATGACCTTCAGGTCCCGCTGCAGCGTCCTCTGGCTCTCCCCGCTGCGTTGCGACGCGCCGCTGCCCTCCCACTGGTCCTCCTTCGCTACGCCCTCGCCGGCATCCCCCGGGTTCGCGTGCCCATTCGACGGCCCCTCGTCGGGATCCGGCGTCCTAGGCCGCTTGGGTCTCTGGCCGGTCCGAGGCTGCCCGCCCTCCCGGTCGTCAGGGCAAAGACGCCCCGCGCCGCCCCTTAGGTTTTGGTCCTCCCCCTTGAGCCAGTCCGCCACCTCGCACGTCTCCGGGTCCACGCCGTCCCATTCGTCGTTCCCCGGCTCCACGCGCCCGCCCAGCACGGGGTACGTCTTGCGCGTGAAGGGGTACGTCCGTCGGTTGTCAAAGAAGAACTCGGCGTACTTGGCCGACCCGATGCCCTGCCGCCGGCGCAGGTTGTCCCCCCGCTGCTTGAGCTGTAGCTTCTCCTTGTCGCTTAGCGGCAGCTTGGGCTCCGGCCCGCGCGGCATGGCTCCTCCCGCCTCTCCGCACCTCGCAAAACCGTCCCAGGGCGCGCCAGCGCCGGCCGTCGGCTCCACAAGGCCGGAATGCATGTGTAACGCCGGGGCGGGGGGGGGCGGGAAGCGGCTACGCCAATTCCCCGGGAACTGCCGTGAGGCCCGGTCAATATGGCGCCCGGTTGACGTCGGACGCCAACCGGACAACCGACGCTCGCCTCCCGCGCGGCGGTGGGGGACGACACGACGGCGCAATGACTCAAGGCGCGGGCGCCGCGCCCACGGTTCCCGGAAGTAGCATGCCGGGGCGAGCGGTGACCCCGTCCGCCCAAGCGCCGCCTCGGTACGTCCAGGCGAACCCTGACTCAAGAATTGTCGGTGGTTTCCACGCGGCCCCCCGACGCCTGGCGATTCGATTCGACGTCCCGCCGCCGCTCTCGGCACTCCGCGCGCGTCGGCGCCCTCCGGCCGTTGAAGGCGTCGCCAACGGCTTGAGGCAGTCCCGAGCGGGAAGGGGGTGGCCTGACTGGGAGCTGTGGGGTGTTTTGTGGGTGGTGGAGAGAGGCCCTTTGGGCGCGGCCGAGAGGCGGACGCGCGGGCCTTTATGGGACCGGCGGATCGGTCCGCGGACGGGGCGTCGGACGGCCGGGCGCGGGGCGCTGCTCACCTTGGTCCAGTGCAGCAGGACGCCCGACTTTGGGGAGAACTTGTCCAGCGGGAAGCTGAAGCAGAAGCCCACGGGCAGCCGCGCGCCATCGCTGGGCAGCCTGCGCGGCAGCCGGCGGGGGCTTCAGTGGCGACCGAGCCGGGCAGCGCGGGGAATCGAAGGCGGCGGACCGATGGGGTGCGCACATGGGGACAGCGATCAGAGGATGCCCGCCGATCGATCTCAACACTAGGATTTGGAAAGCATCAGAGTTCGGACATCGCTGGCGGGTGGTGAACAGCGGGATGGATAGTAAGGCCGCGACGACTTTTTGGCGCCAGCCGTAGCAATTTGGAGATGCAGGCGTTCTGGGGACGGGGGGGGCAGGGATGGGCCGTGCTTCGGACGGTTTGAAGGTACAAAGAAGCCTACCTGCCAGTTTTCTGCACAAACGACTTCAAGCAGGTGGCGATGAAGTCGAAGAGGTCCCGACTGGTGCCCTTTTTTCTGACTTCAGGGACCACCATATCGACTCTCTCCTCCACCTCCACTTTTCCTTTTTCCTCGCCGAGGCGGCAGAACATCACGCGCAGATTGGTGCCACCAACGTCTATTGCATAGAAGTCGCCAGCCTCGGTCCTGGTCCAGAGCAGCAGACTTGGTCAGACCTTGGCCCGCAGGTCAGCAGCCTCACGGGCAAGGAAAGTCCAAATTGTGCCAATGGCCACTCACAACTCTTGCAACACCAGCTGTACTTATGGCCGTGAATTTGTTGCACTGATGCGAGCAACAATTGTTGCAGCACTGCTTGTCTCTGCATCACTGCCTCTCAAGCAGGGCATTCGTAGAATGGACGATTGTTTGATTTTTGCATGCACGGTTGATTTCTGCAAACATTTTCAGCCTCTTGAATGCTGATGGGATATGTCGATGCAGGGTAGGAGATGGAAGAAAAAGGAGGTTGGCTGTTGCAGTTGGAGCGCATCTGCCCCAGCAAGAGCAGCAGCCATTGACAGTCGATGACTGTTGATTCTTCCGCATTTGTCAATTCTTGCAATCCCTTGGATGTGGTGCCAAGCAGGACACGAACAGCTACCCTGCTCTGTATGTCCCGATTCCTGTGAGAAATGTGTCTGAAATAGTGCTCCTTGGTTCTCTGGCACACCAGGCTCAGAAGACGACTTGCAGCCAGCACAGTGCATTTTGGGAATGGTTTTGTGAAATCAGCATTGCCACAATTTCTTGCGACTAATGGTGCAAAAAAATCTGAGGACAGGTGGTCGACGAGAACTCGCCTCTGGCTTGTTCAGCATATTGCTGAAGATGCAAGACCAGAGGCTGCACATGGACCCAACAGTCACCATCTGCCACAGGGGCGCCGATGCTTAGAACTGGTGCCCAAGAGCAACACACCTGTTTCTTGGAACAATGATCAAGCAGGCAAGCAAAACTTTATCCTAAGCACAGAGACACCAGCAAGTTGGGATGCCATTAGAGGGGAAGGGCAGAGTTTGTTCTGCTTATCAGTTCACAAGCCAGTCTGCCGTTTTCATAGCAGGAAGGCCACGTTCCCATACCCGTTTGGGAGGTCCAAGACGAAGGACGGCAGCATCCAAAGGGTGCTCCCACCATCCTGCTCGACTGCCACTTCAAGCTGTGCACAACCACACCGTGGATCACTGCCTCAGCAGGCTCTGCCTTGGCGCAGGTCGCGCCCATCATGAACCAGTATTCCAACTCGGCACAACCCCCAAGTTCATCTCAAGGAGACACAGGTCGCCGCCCCCTCCGAACCAGGCGCCGCTAAGTACTGGACCGGGGGCGTGAGTCCTGCGCGACTGCCAACCGGCGGCGACGAGGTTTCCTCCAGGTGGCCAGAGCGCGGGCGGGACCTTGGTGAAAACGGAGACGTATGGATGCACAGGGAGGTTGCGGGAGGGGTGGATACGGGCTCCCCACCTGCTTCCTGAAGTCGCCGTGCAGCTCCAGGAGGCGCTCCTTCGGCACCTGGAACACCTCTCGGTACTGCAGCACGGCATGCATCAGCCGTCAGCGCCGTCGCCGTGCGGCACTGTCCGGGACCACAGCGGGTGGACCCGAACGGGAAAGCAAAAGCACAACGCCCGCACGGTGATCGCCTTCTGGGTCACGAGCAGCCTCGCGTGAGGACCCTGCCACGTGCGCACAGACCAGACAGCCGTCAACGCCCAAGACACCCCTCGCGCGCGTTCCGCGCGAAATTGTTCCAACGCCGGCCTCCGCCTCCCATCTGCGGTCTTCGCCTTTTTTCCGGGTCAAAGATCACGTGCATCGGTCCGCGCCCCACCAAGAAACCCCAGCGCCCCATGGAGCGGTGCCCTGGCCACAGCGCCAAAACCACCGCGCCTCCAGAGCGCCCGGCTCCGCCAGGCGCGGCACGCCTCGCGCGCGGGACTTCCCACGGCCGCCTCGCTCGACTACATCAAGCGGCAAACGCGTTGCAGCGGCAAGTACGCGCTGGCGAGAGGCAGGCGGGACCAGACTGCGCATGCAACCAACAACCCGAGCACCCACCCCACCCAAACCCAACCTACCCCGCGCCAGCCGCCGGGGCTCAAACCCCGGCGAGGGCGGCGTGCACGCCGAGCTGACACACCCACGCCCGGGGACTCCGGGGCACTTGGCGCGAGGTTCCCTGCGCAGCGGGCTCATCATAGCCGCAGGCGCAGTGACTCCCCACCCCCCCACCCCACACACACACACACGCGCCCGGTCGCGCAGTGACAACCCCCGTTTTCGGCAAAGGGGCGCATTCCGCGTGGCGTGCCTTCGGCGCGGCGGGAAAGGCGCGCCGGCGGGGGTAGTTGATCGGCCCGGAAGGGACGCACTGGCGCCCACCCACGCGGCCGATCGGCCTCCAATGTTTCCGGCCCCGCCGCCTCCCCCAGCCCGGCGACGAGGTACAGAGCGGCAGAAGCGCCGGCAGCGCCGGCCCGTTCCCGCCACCCGCTCGCGGGGCAACTGGGGCTCCGGCACGAAACCCACACAACATCAGCCTCTCGTTCAAATCCCCTGGGGCCAATTTTTTTCACGCCGCCGCGCGCCGGGCGTCCCCAGAATTCATCCATCCCGCACCCGGTCGACGAGCCTGCGCCGGGCCCTAAGGCTTCTGATCCGCCTGGCCACCACCCAGCCGCCCAGGGAGACGCCGGCCGCGACGATGGCCATGTAAATAAGAAAGCGCGCCATTGCCGCGCCCACCTCCCGCCCGCCAATATGGCCGTATACGGTATGCGCGGGGGGAGGGGCAGCAAGAAGGCTGGCCAGCAACAACGGGGCGGGGGGAACGGGTCGCGCCGAATACGCTGCGCGGCGACAATCTATGGTCGACCTCCGATACTGCTCTGAGTGGCGCCGGCGTTCACCCGGAAGCTGGCGGAAAGCTTCCGCGCCCAGGCGTCGTACCCGCCGAAAGCGCGTGACCACAGCGCCCAAAACTGGGACCCCGGCGTGCAAACAGGGAGACCTCTGCCGTAAAGGGGATTCGAAGGAGTCGAGGGTGGGAATTTCGCTGGCTCGCTGTTTTACTGGCACTGGGCTGGGTGTGCTTCCCCGCCTCTCACGCTCACCCCGCCTGGGTACTAATTGGCACAAGAACGCGCGACGCTGGCCGCGGCTTCCACTCCGGCCTTTCATGTGCAACGTTGACGGCAAAGCGCTAGATGACGGTGACCTTCGCCTTCCCTGGCTTCCATTCCCATATGGAATGAGCGAATTCGTCTGCATGAGACCGGCGCCTTGCGTCCATGAGCCACCAGTGTCCATCGGACTACAAATTTCCAAATCAATTAGGAAGCACCGAAATCCAATCAAGGGCGCGTTTCAATCAAGGGATCGTCTGGGCAATGGCAGCAGGCCGTTTGTATAGAGGGCACGTGTCCTCGCATCAGGCTCCGATCATCTCCGCTTCCCCGAAGAGATGAACGTCTCCTTCCGTCGACACCGCCCATGGCCGTGCGGAACTGGACCGCCCCCCTTTTCTGACATGACGGGCAGCCTCCCCAAGCAGCGCGGCCCCTCAACAGACCGTGGCACTCCACAGCAGAGGCGGCCGCCCCCCGCGTAGGCGGGGGACCCCTGCCCCCCCCCCCGCGGTGGCACCTCAGGTGACGTCCCGTAACACACGGTTGCCGCCGTGCGCACATAGGACGGACGACTCTCCAGTACGCCCCCGCCGCGAAGGCAGTCGCCACCCAGCGGCGCGACCCATGCCATTATTGTCGATGTCTACCCGCTGAGCCCACCGCAACGCGTGCAAGATCCCTTGAGTGTCCCTGACGGCGACTGTGGCTCCCCAAGCGCCGAAATGTCGACGGCTGGGCAGCCGTGCGGCCAGCAAAATCGAGCGCCGGTGGGTCGTCACATCCCAAGCGTCGCGCGAACCCGCCAGGGTGCGGAGGGGTGCTGCTCTTGCTCGCTCGGCCCAGCACAGCCAAGCCCTCCCAGCCCTGCAGACCCTGCGGGACGCTTCGCAACGCGCACGCCGCCGTGGCCGCCTCGTGAGCCAGGCCGAATCCGGATCCCGTCACACAAGTTTGCGCAGCGCGCACTCCACCTGGCGGCTGGCGGGCGGACGGTCGACCGTCGGCTCCGAGTGCTTCGGCGAGTCTGTCCGCACCAGGATGCCGGCAAGGCCCCGGGGCCCTCAGCTCCGTCCTCCGAATATGTCGCGCCCCTGTGGCGCCTCCTCTATGTTACGCCGCCGCCCATTGTTGACGGGGCGTCCTTCCGTCGGCCGGAGTCGCGCGTCCCTTGAAGGGGCCGCAATTCCGCTTGGGCTGCGCAGCGGACCGTGAGACACGCCCCGGTCTGTTCGAGCGTTGGCGATGCAGAGCGAATGCGCCCTGGTGCGTCGCGGAGACGCGTGGTGGGCCATGGCTCGTCCGAGGGTGACCGAACCTCTGAAGGTTGCCGCGTTCGGCGATCTGCGGCCCGTTCGCGTTTCCGTTGCCGTTGTCGACCCTCGGGCAGGCCGCCCCTCCCTTAGGAGATCCTCACTCCGAAGCGGCAGTCGACAGAGCGTGAAACGGTACCGCAACGCGGGATACCTTATGGCGAACAGGGGCTGGCAGGGTTTCAGGATGGGCAGTCACCTGAACGTGAGTGTGGCGGTAACTCACGTTAACCTGGTAGACACTGCAGCGATTATTGACAGAGTGCACATGCGTGCCAGTAGTCAACGCCTCAGTGAAAGCCTCATCTGCTTCCGGAGCAACGAACTCGAGCGCCCCGGCGCCCGTGGGGCCTGCCGACGCGGCAGCGAGGTGTGACGGCGATTTGTCGCGAGATTTACGAAATGCAATGCAGTGAATAGGTTTAAATCGGGTACTGGGCCGTTGGGTGGGAACCTTTGAACGGCCAGCAAAGGTTTTAGTACTTGGCGCACTTGGAGTTAGATGGATGGCGCTGCCGGTTCTCAAGCTTGGAAAGCCAAGGCTCAGTGAGAAAGAGTTTGCCACTATTCTTAAAGTTGTGGTCAAGTTATGGGCAGCGCCTGGGCGAACCGGGCGCGGTTGGTTATGAAGCCCAGGAACCGAACTGAGCGGCTGTTTGCACCAGTGAAAAACTGGTTCACAGTGATCTGGGCAAACGGGGAACTTGGGACTTAAGGTTGGCGAAACGAGCTTGTGGCTATCTCGTTTTTCGCTTCGCCGTCACGCGTCAAGCGCTCTCCTCCGAGCTCCGCGCTCGGTTTCCTAGCTAAGGAAAGCAATCGATCACGATCTGCGATCGTGATAGCAATCCAGACCCCGCTGGTCTGTGGTACGCCCCTTGATGGGCGATCCTGCTGCTCGCTTGGCCGCCCTTGAAGCGCAAGTCCAAGCACTCCGCGGGGAACTCGCTCCCGCGCAGCCCCCCGCCGATCCCGCGGCCATTGCTGCCGCTGCGGAGGAGGAGCGCCTCCGTCAAGTCCAGCTGGCCGACGCGGCGCTCTTGACGACGCTGCGGGATCTCTGCATTCGGTATACCGGCGATCGGGCGGAGGAGGTCGCCGCCCACGCCATTCGCACCAAGGAGGAGTTGTCCCACTTCGCTGGGAACCCCATTCCGCGCCCCCCTTCAGCCAACAAGGCCGGCGCCCCCTTCCCCATCTCCTCTACGGCTTGGGGCCAAGATCTGGCCGCCGCCCTGGGCGCCGGCAGCGGTTTCTTCCAAGAGCTCTCCGCCTGGGCCCCCGTCACCTCCTACCTCTTCGACATCGTCGCCACCCTCTTCCAGATTACATCGTCCGAGTACTTTTCTCCCGACTCCCGCCGCCAACTTCGAGGCATCGTCGACGCCCTCCACGCCATGCTCCAAGGCGCCCTTTGCAACGTGCACGTGCACGAATTGCGCGCGAAGCACGGCGGCGACATCGCCGGCGCCTTCTCAACGCAGCTCCGGAGCTGCGGATCAGCAGGCGGATCCGCCTGTCCGGGGCGCACTACGCCGCCGTTCCCGAAGAAATCGTCGACTTTGACCGCCGCATCGCCGACAAGGTCGTGGCAGCCGTCCAGAAGCAGACCGCCGCCCGCGCCGCCTCTTCCCACGAAGGCCACCCCCGCGGTGGCCAGCGCGGGCGCGGACGCCGCGGCGGTCGCGGATCCGGTGGCCGCGGCCGCGGTCGCAACTTCGGCGGAGGTGCCCCCAGCGCCTCCAATTGATGGCCCCGCGGTACACCGTCCGTCGGCGAGCGACGGCCGTCCCCCGGCGGGCGGCCCCGACCCCCGCCCCGCCGCCTCCAGACGCGGGCGCGGAGTCCTCTTCGGGCGCCCAGTTACCGGCCTTGGGCCCCCCTCCTCCCGCTGACGTGGCGTACGACCGGGACCTCGTCCTCCCCGACGCTCCCCCGCTCGACCTACTGGGCCCCAAGGCCCCTACTGGCCGTGCGCAGGCCTCTCTGACTGCGGCTCCGCCGCCTCCTCCGGCCCCACCTGCCGCCGCCACCGATCATGCCGCGCTTCCCCGGCACCAGCCCGGCCCTGGCAGCCAAGCGGACCCGATCCTTGTGGCGGACGCTTCGGATCGATCCGCGGACCTTCCCTTACCGGCGTGTGAGGTATGCCATCGCGGCTTGGCGGTGGATCGGCGCCAATCTCACCATTCTCTCTTGGATCAACGAGGGTTTTCGTCTGCCTTTCTCTCGCCCTCCTACCCCGTTCGATATGGGCAATTCTGTGTTTCAAGGCGACGATCTGCCCATTTGGGAGGCCACTTTGGAGAAATACTTGCGGCTTGGTGCCTTACGGCCGGCTTCCTATTCTTCACATGTCAGCCGAGCATTTCTGCTCCCGAAGCCCGATGGCTCCAAGCGCCTGATTGTCGATCTCAGGCCTCTCAATGCGTTCATCGCGGATCGCCGATTACGGATGGCCTCCTTGCGCGAGCTGGAATTTGGCATGCATACGGGCGATTATATGGTTGCTTGGGATATTGCCGATGCCTACTTTCATGTGGCCTTACACCCAGCGCATGTGCGCTATTGTACCATACGGGTGAACGGCCTCCTTTGGGAGATCCCGGTGCTCCCGTTTGGTTTGAAGTCGTCCGCCTACGTGTTTTCGAAAGTGGTGGCAGTGCTGGTCCGGTTTTTGCGTGCCCCCCGGCTCAGCGTGCCCCGGCAGCCCCACTCGTGGTGGCCGGGTCTCGCTGCCATCTGGCGCGCCAATCTGGCGATCTTTCTGCTGCCCTACCTCGACGATTTCCTGGCGGTGCATCGTTCCCGCCGGGATCTCCGTCGTTTTGCTCTCAATTTGCAGCCCGCCCTGCACGATCTGGGCTTGCAGCTCAAGCCGTCCAAATCGACGCTCCTCCCTACCCAGGAGTTGTCCCACCTGGGCTTTGTGGTCAACTCCAGGTCAGCCACCTTGGCGGTCCCTCCCCCGAAGGTCGATCAGATTCGAGTCCAGGCCACGACCCTGCTGGCCATCACTTACCGTCAAGCCCGGTGCCTCAAGGCCAAGCTCCTCGCCCGCTTCCTGGGACAAGTTCAGTTTTTGGCCTTGGCAGTGAAGCCCGCCCGTTTCTTTCAGCGGAATCTCCACCAGGCCTTGGCCACCAAGACTACGTGGCGCAGCATGGTCCGCCTTCCCCGGGCAGCCCTACGCGAGATGCAATTCTGGCAGCGGCTACCGGCCCGATTTCAATCGGCCCCCTTCCTCCGTCCCCCGCATCAGGCCGTGCTGGCCACCGATGCCTCCCTTCTGGGTTGGGGGGCGGAGTTGACCGATCCAGTGCCCTTGGCTCCGCCCCACGCAGCCCCAGCCTTGGCACGGGGGTTCTGGTCCCATACCGAGCGGCTCCTGCACATCAACGTGCTGGAGCTCGAAGCGGTGATCCGAGCCGTCCGCTCCTTTCTGCGCCGGCTCCAGGGCCGGCATGTGCTTTTGATGACGGACTCCCAAGTGGTCTACCACCTGCTGCGATCGTTCAAGTCCAACGTCGATCCACTTTACAAGAGATTACAGCAGTTGTTCTACATTCTGGACACCGCCCGGATCGTGTTCCAACCCCGCTGGATCCCCACGGCCGACAACGTTCTCCCGGACACTTTGTCCCGACTACGCGATTCCGAAGACTGGCAACTCAACCCGCCCCTCTTCCGCCTCTTCGACTCCCTCTTCGGGCCCCATCACGTGGACCGCTTCGCCTCCGCCCTCAACCGGCATTGTCTTCGGTACAACTCGCGCTGGGGAGACGTTGGCTCCGAAGGCGACGCCTTCTCCGCACCCGATTGGTGCACCGCCAACAACTGGATCAACGCCCCGTGGACGTTGCTGCCCCGTGTCGTCGCCCTCCTGACCAGCCTCCCCTCGGTGCACGCCACTGTTCTGGTGCCCGAGTGGATCGGCAAGCCTTGGTACCGGCAGCTCCACTCCATCGCCTGGGCTCGGGTCCCCATTCCTCGGGGCCCCTCGACCTTCCTCTCCGGACGCTCAGGGCACCTGCCCCAGGGCCTTCCGAGGTGGCGCATCGTGGCGCTCCGCGTGGACCGCCCCGCCCCGCCACCTCCTATGGTGGCTGCTTTGCGGTCCCGCCAGTGGCAGCGCCTCGCGCGCTCAGCCCAGCTCGAACATCTCGAGCCTCTCCACTGAGCCCCACTGCGACCCCTCAAGACCCGCCCCCCTCCGGTGGATTCAAGCGCCCTCGCCTCCAGCGACCCGCGCCCACTCTACCCTTGGCGGGCTCAGAGCGTCCTACAGCGGATTTCACATTTCGGCAGGACACCACTGTTCAAGCCCCCCCTTCCTTCCAGGATTCACTCTCAACACTCTTCCGTCCACCTACCTCGTGGCCGCCCCTCGTGGACCCCTCCTTCTCGCCTCCGGTCGTCGCTGGCCTCTCCGCTGTCGAGGCCGCCTCCATCCTCCGGGCCCTGTCCACGTCCAACGCCCCATCGGGCCGCTCCAGCATCATCTCCAAGTTCAAGCGGTGGTGGCGGTATTGCCGCTCGGTCCCTTGCTCGCCGGTCCCGGCCCATCGTGGCCGCATCCTGCTCTACATCGACACACTGCGTCAGTCGGGGATCAACGTCCGCTCGGCACCGCAATATCTCGCTGCAATTACCACGGTGCATCGCTGGTTCGGCGTCGACAACTGGTCTGCTTCCTCTACGGCCTCCAACGCGATTCTGGCCTCCTGGCGCCTCGAGATCGCCGACACCGAGGCCCGCGACCAGCCCACCCCCTTTCCGGCCAGCACCCTGTCTACCTTGCTGCACCGGATCACCCTCGACGCCCCCCTCCCTCAACTGCGCGCCGTCCTCCTACTGGCGCTGGACTTCGCCTTTTTCAACAGAGGGGACTCCGCCTTTCCGATCAAAGCCCACGACCTTGAGGTAGCAGCCGGCAAGATTATCTTTCGCGAGGTACGGTTCAAGCGGAAGCGCGCGGATCGTCTACAGAATCGAGTCCGCGCCTTCGACCCCTCGGGCATCCCCCGCCTCCTCCAGATCTTGGAGGCCTACCGCGCGGCCCGCTGCTCGGCCTTCGGGCCCCATCCCCCGCCCCCGGCCTTTTGGCAACTGCCGGACGAGCCCCCTCCTCGGGCCTCCTGGGTCGCCACCATTTGCACCCAAGCCCAAGCCTGGTGGCCCGCACTCTTCGGCAGCACCATTCGCCATCACGATTTACGGCGGGGTGGCGCCACTGCTGCGCATGCCATCGGCGTGCCCCTCGAGACCATTTGCTACTGGGGCGGCTGGCGCTTCGGCAGCGACGCGGTTTTCACCTACATCGACTTCGCGCATCCCCCTACCTCCGAGGATGCCGACTGGTTTGGGTGGATGCGCCGGGACGCGGCCTTCATCGCCGCTCAGTTCGCCAATCGGCGCTTCCCAACTCCGTGCGTTCCTCCTCTGCCTTCTTCCGCGGGGGCCACCACCCTGCTCGCCGCCTCCTCGCCGGACACTCCCATGCTGGATGCCCCGCTGCCCTCGTGACCGCGCCTCTCCCCGTCCCGCGGTCAAGCCCAACTTCCCGTCAATGCCGACCACTTCCGCGCGGTTCCGGCCGGTCATTTGACTACCGGTCAGGTCCTACCGGACTACACTGTCCTCTTTAGGGAAGACATCGCGGGTACCATGGCAAACCGGTGTGAGGACTTCCAAGGATGCCTGGAAAAGAGTGTGTCTGAGTGTTTTAGTGCTGAGACTGGACCAACGCCCTGAGTGCGCCAAACCGTCCCGATTGTTAATCTGACATAACGAAGTATCGTTACAAACGGGTGGGCAAGGCCCCCCGAGATTTAAGCGAGATTTACGAAATGCAATGCAGTGAATAGGTTTAAATCGGGTACTGGGCCGTTGGGTGGGAACCTTTGAACGGCCAGCAAAGGTTTTAGTACTTGGCGCACTTGGAGTTAGATGGATGGCGCTGCCGGTTCTCAAGCTTGGAAAGCCAAGGCTCAGTGAGAAAGAGTTTGCCACTATTCTTAAAGTTGTGGTCAAGTTATGGGCAGCGCCTGGGCGAACCGGGCGCGGTTGGTTATGAAGCCCAGGAACCGAACTGAGCGGCTGTTTGCACCAGTGAAAAACTGGTTCACAGTGATCTGGGCAAACGGGGAACTTGGGACTTAAGGTTGGCGAAACGAGCTTGTGGCTATCTCGTTTTTCGCTCCCGCCCACCTCTACCCACGATATTTGGCTTGATTTTGTAATGTAAGGAGAGACATTTGGCAAACCGGTGTGAGGACTTCCAAGGATGCCTGGAAAAGAGTGTGTCTGAGTGTTTTAGTGCTGAGACTGGACCAGCGCCCTGAGTGCGCCAAACCGTCCCGATTGTTAATCTGACATAACGAAGTATCGTTACAAACGGGTGGGCAAGGCCCCCCGAGATTTAAACAGTTGTACGATTGCTGCAGTTGTACCAGTTGCTGTAGTTGCACTATTTCCTTCTTACGATCTCATGCTACCCCACATTAGTCCTTCTCCTTCCGATGTAACCGAAGCCGCTAGCAGTTCCACGCCCTCCACATGGCGCACCGCCCTCCCGCGCAAATCTGCTTGATGGACGCCGACCGTCCATCGGACGACTTCTCGAGTGAACCAGCCACGGTCTGGGCCCCGCCCAGTTCAGCCCGCAGTTCGCGAGCACATGGGTCACATCAGGGCCTCTCGTGTATTGCGCACTCTGCGCACGTCCCATCGCCCCATGCATGTCGCACGGGGTGGGCTCGCAATGGGGCATTGGGATGAAAGCCGATGTGACACCACCATGGGGCTTCGTCGCCGGGCACCCCCCGTGCATTCTCCCACTCGATCGCGTCGGTCGGCAGTGGTCCGGCGGCGCCGAGGGGAGTAGGGAGGCCCGAGACGGCGGCCGGTGGCGGGGAGGGAGGCCGCAAAAAGGTGCGCGGGAGCGGATGAGCGAGCGGCATTCCAAAATTTCAGCTCTTCGTGCGCCAGTTGCGACAAAGAGGAGCGAAGGCCGTCCCGCGGCGCAGGGCGTGCTGCGCCCACATTGCGGTGCTGTGTGCATGTTGAGCGCCCTCGCGATGCGCGCGGCCCTTTTTGAACACATCCGGTGTCGCTTGCGTCGCTGTGGACCTTGCAAATGGGCTCTGCGTCGTCGGCGCGACGACACGTGCCTTTTTCAAGGTTGCTTGCGCCCAGCACGCTGTGCAAATCTGACGTAGATATCGATTGGCTGCGCGCAGGAATTCGACGCCCCGCGTGAGATAAGAGCCTCTCAACGGAAACAGCAGCCGCGGGTAAGGAGGGAGAATGGCGTGCGGTGACGTATCTCACCCGTCGATGGGGCGCCTGCTGGTGTGGGTCGCGGTGGCGCTGGGCGCCTGCCTGCCGCTGGCGGCTGGGCAGGTCGCCCTGCAGTGCTTCCCCACGCCGGAGTTCAAGTCCTACACGAGGGAGGCGCAGGACGTGCGCGTGGCGTTCTCGCTGAAGGTGGGGGCCTTATTCGTGGCGTGGGCGCCGCCATTCCGGGACGTGGTCGAATTGCCGTTCTTGATCGCGAGGGTCGCCTGGGCGAGGCGATGGGAGGGGGAGAAGGCGTGGGATTGCCGTGATCGGGGTTGTGGCTGGAGCGCATGGAGGGGCGTGCGACGGGCGCAGGGACAAGCAATTTGCTAGATAAGGATTCTGAACTTGGTACGCACATGAGCACGAATTGGATCATGCCTGCTCTCCCGCTCGGAAGGCGAATTCAGATTCTGCTCCCGCTGCAGTCGACTTCTTTGGCAAAACAGGCCGTTTGCCAATGCGCTGGTCCCGCTGTCTATGTGCCCCAAGCGAAAGCAGCACACTTGCTTTTGTTTTTCTCGACCGCAACCGGCATTGGAATGACTTCTGAACCAGAAAGCGGTCATTTAGGCCAACGTTCTTCAGGTCTTGTAGGCATTTTTCAATATAACGAAGTTTTCGTTTTCTATGCCAAATCTTTAAACTTAAATATTATCCTGCTGATCATCCAATAGGCTCTCCTTGGATGGTTGCGTCACAATGACCAATCAGGTCCGTGACTCACACGCTCGTGAAACACACATGCAGGAATCGGTTGCCCGCACCGGCCCAGATTTGGGCGTCGATTTTGAGCCAACGTTGGTAGATATTCCCGTACCCTGGATATCGAAAAGAGTATACAGGTACAAAATATGCCGTATCTTAGACATGTATGCTCTATGGCCAGGATATGCCCATCTCCATGTCCTGTATATGGCGAGGGAATGGGCGAGATATGGCCGTATCTCAGGATATCGCCGCACGTTACCTAGGATGTAGCCTCCGTATGCTGGATATGCCTGTCCAGGATATGCGGTTTTCCGACGACTCTTGAGTGTGAATGGCAAAGCAAACCAAAGACACAACCTTGAATGGTTCAGTGATTTAAGGATGAGTAACCTTGGCCATCAAATTTCCCATGTGCTTGTCACAGGCTCCAGGAAAACTGAGGTCTTCTGCTCCGCTCTCACTGACGACGGTGCTCGATCGATCGGGATCCATGCACGGCAGGAAGATGGAGCTGCTGCAGGCGACCAGCAAATTTTTGGTCGACAAGCTGGCGGAGGACGACGGCACCCACAACACGGGCATTGTGGTGTATGGGGATGACGTGAGCGCTTGGCACTGACACAAATGCAGTTGCGAATTTGACGCGTCGAATATGACGCGTGGGGTCATACAATCTGGGAGTTGCATTATGAGAGACTTGTGCTGTGCGGATATCAGGGTTCAACATTACAACTCGCGCGTCTTGTTTTCGAGCAGGATAGGCGCCCAATTGATTCCAATGCTCAGTACTACTTGGTATCCATATGCTGTGAATTTGAAGAGCCACATGCGAAAATACATCCACCGCCTGGTGGATAACACGCTGTCCTCGAATCGAGCTTTCCACAGAGCGGCCTCTAGATTTCAGCCTCAGTCGAGGCTTCGACCTGGGGGTTCATTTCCAGCGTCCTAAGCTCGTGACCTCGCTGTCCTGAAAAGCAAGATAGGACTCCATTACAATAGGAAAGCAGGGGGCAATGACATGGTGTCCAACCGTGTACAAAACATGTGAAACTGTGTAGGAAGTGTGTTGTTTGATACGCACTCGAGGCACACGCTTCCTGATTGTGCACGGTTGAAAGTGTGTTAAATGTGTGTCTAGTACACGTTAATGTGTGTACCAGTCAATTAGCTAATCCATATACTCCTTTTTTTTGCCAGGTCGTGGATCTGGTTGAGTTGCAACCCGTCACCAAGAAGATCGCCCCCCTCATGAACCAGGCCATTGACAGCGTCTTCGCGTATGGCCAGACGTTCCTGTCGGGCGGCCTGAAGCGCGGACTCGAGCAGCAGAGGGACGGGCCGAATGATTACGTGAAGAATGTCTTTCTGTTCACAGACGGCCTGCCCACCATTGGTGCGTGACTGACCGTTGAATCGCAACGTTCGTGGATGGCCACGTGAAATTTGCCCTGGCTCTGTTTATGGACCATTGGACAAGTGGGCCATTTGACGGGAAGAGGTATCACTATTTTATCCTCTGTTATTTCGATTCACCTTTGAAAGGCTGAAAAATACTGAACATTTGATTTTCGTTCTGTTCGCTGGATGTTTGCACTCTCTGAGCCGAGATGTCGCTGTCCGTTCTCCTGTATATTGACATAACGCGTTGTGACACGTAGCCAAGCTGTTGAGAGAGTGCGATGCTGTGATATTGCACGAAACAGTGTCATGCAAATGCGGATTGGCCATTGCAGAAGACACCAGAGTGTCAAATTTCACTTCCTGTTGCTCAGCGGAACAGTTTATGACGTTATTCAGTGACTATTTAGTGCGCAATGGGCTAAGTCGCCGTTTTGGGGCAAACACGATGGCTCTGTGCCAATACACACAGTGACGATTGCCCACTTCAGAACAACGGAGCCACAGCTTTGCCGTTGGCAGTCGACATGTGCCGCCTATTGCAATGTGCCTATCCTTCCAGTACATGATTCAAGAAATGGTGGTGCAAAGTCCTCACAACCGCTGAGCGACCTGGGACGTATGACCACGCTCAAAACGCGCAATTGCCAAAAATTTCAACACGGTAACCCGCTGTGCATCGTTGCAACATGTGTGGAGCCACTGCCTTTCGCCGTCGAATGGACAGTGAACAAGGCCTATGGCGGCATCGCCCACATATCAAAGGACAGTCAGCGTCCTAATTGCACTGTGCTCGCTCGGCCGTGTACGGTTGATTCACTGAAGTGGCATCGCAATGCTGTTGGCAATTTCTAAGTAGAGAACACACAAGTAAAAGATCGGCCAAAACACACAAATTCGAGCCGAGCGAAAATCGGGTAAAACGGTGTCAAAACGTATAAAAGCCATGTACAGTACACGTTACTACACGGTCTGGCCTTATTTTTATATCATAAATGCGCGATTTACCATGATTTTCCATCGCGTTGCACTGTACACGATGTCCGAAACAGTGTCACTTGGCCTGTTTTTTAATTGAGCCAGCCTGCTCCAGGGTCCACCACGCCGGAGGACATCATGAGGGAAATGGAGGAAATCCGTTCCAGCGTGTCCTGCAACAGATTTGGAGATGGGGGCGGCAACTTTGGCGATGGGGGAAATAATTTCGGCGATGGCGGAAATAATTTCGGCGACGGCGGAAGCAACTTCGGAGACGGGGGAGGCAATCGTGGAGATGGGGAGTGCGGTCCGTCCATCTCAGTGTCCACCTTCGCCGTTGGCGACGAAATTGACGTTCTGCTGCTGGAGGTGCGCAAATGCGCCCACTCATCGCAATGGCGATCGCGATGATGAGTCCATCATCTCCAGGCTTTGCGCCCCTTTGCGCTCTCTTGTTAGGCGGTACAAGGCCGGCGCATCTTGCTACGGGGACGGGGGAGGCATGTGGACATTGAAGTGTGATGCAGTAATTGGAATCAAAAGAGAAGTTCAACATCTCCATCCCCGTCGACGATCACTCATCGCAAATTTATCGCATGCCAATGTGCATACAATCTAGGACAGGCAACGAGCGGGCACTCCTGCTAGCACTCCTGCAGCGCTGCGCGGCAACGAACAAATGGATATCAACGCCAGAGAGTCACGAGAAAGAGCTGGGGTTGTTTTCATCTGTTGATCGCCGTGTTCAGGGGATTCCGCATTTCGTTTTCCAGAGCGTCGCTTTTATTTCTTACATTGCTGCGCAAAAATTTTATTAAAAAGTGTTAATTTCTCCGAAAAAACGGTCAATCATTACGTTGCTATGCGGAAGGCTTTATAAATCTCTACATGGGGACGTGCGAGTCGCCCATCCGAATCGCGACCATCTGTGGCAGGTGTGGTGGGGCTTGAGCGGTGCTGAATGAAAAGAGCATTCATTGCACTGTTCTGATCAGTGCTGCTCAGCACGGTGCAAAGGGTCGCAATGTAGGGCAAGTTCCCTCGTGCGTACATTAGGGGCATGATAACTTGCTCGTGAGGGAACTTGCCTTCTGTCTCGCTGCTCTTTGAAAAGATATTTAGAGGGCGTTTTCAAAATGCTTGTTAATAGTCACATGTTCTCCACCTAGCGATTACAGCAAATTTGCCGCAATCACTGGGTGAAGAATATGTAGGTGTGGGATCTCAAGATTGCTCAAATTTATGGATGCATTGCTGTACATTACCATACTGCCATAGCATGTACCGCACTGCTGGGTTATGGGTGTACAACCGTAGCTCACAATCTCGCTTCATTTTCGAAGCAGTGATTGATGCTTTTGATGGCCGTCCTTCCAGGACATCGCTCGCGCCGGCGGCGGCCAGGCGTACATCATCTCCAACGAGGACGACATTCCGATCGCATTCGGAGACGCCATCGGGGGCCTCCTCTCCATCGTCGCGCAGGACATCGACATCTTCTTCAAACCCATCAACGGAGTGTTCATGAGGGCCATCCGAACCGGAGGCAACGTCACGGAGTTCAGCGACGGGGCGAGGTGACTAAATGCGCCCTCAGCCGATGCCAAGTGCCCGGCAATTGTTTCGTTGTGGTGCCGCACGCGACTGCCTGCTGGATGTGGACTCCCGCCAACCCCACATCTGTGAATTGCTCGGTGCCGGACGCTGCATTGCCCTGCCAATGTATACAATAGCTACAATATCTAACAGCATGTTTTATGTAAAGCATGGTATTAAACATATATATTATTAATACTTCCTCTGTCCGGAATTAAATGAACGCGTTTGTTTGACAGGCCAAATTTGCATTACGCACCTATTTGTTCTTTGCGAAAATTTCTGAGTATCTAAAAAACTTATATATGCTGCTCTGGCAGAAATTTGATGTCAAAATATTGAGTACTGCGCAAATGACAATACTCTGAATCGGCAAGATTGGGGCGGAACGGTTGGAGAATCTCAAGGTCGGGGCTGGCGACCCCCAAAACCGACCCCTGGAGAGGATGGCCTTGCACTTGACATTGCGCACCAAGAAATGGTCAGCTGCTGCCACAGTTAAAACAGCAGGTCAGATCCGTCCCTAAGACGAGGCGAGACGGTGCAACCAGGTTTAAAACCACCCGATCGCCGATCTCTACCGTGGATTTCCCCGTCCAGTCAGATGCCCATCTGGAGATCGGAAATCCGAAAAATCGGCCAATTTCACAATCGAGGCTCCTTTCAAAAGACTCCGCCAGCACTTACAGGGTGAACAAGGCTGGAAAAACCACCGCAAAAAGTTTGGAAGGTTTGCGTTGTCAGCCTTCAGCACACGAGCAGAAAGATCGCCAGAAATGGAGGTGGCGGGTGCTCTATCTATGACGGCCTGTCAGGGCTGTTCATGACACTGTGGAAGACGCCACCGTCCAAAATTTCAGATGTCCACCACGCAGGTTGCTGAAAGGCTATATGGACAGGCACTAGGGACCTCCATCTGCAAATCGTAATGTTTCATTGCCAAAAGATTGGCGGGAATTCATTGCTTTTGAGAGGCATGGCTTTGCTCCGGACATGCCATTGCTGTGAACCGCGGTGGAATAGATAGCCTTTAATGCACGCAGCGATAGCAGGGCGGGTCTCAAGATACCTGAGAACGTATTCGCAGGGATGGATCCCACGCACGCCAGTGTGTCGTTGTACAAGATGTGTCGAAATCCGGAATTCGGTGATGGTGACAAACAGATACCGGGGTCGTTTCTGCTGGCGCTCCACAGTGATGGGTGTCGATCGTTGTGCTGGAGCTTGAGTTGCGCATGGTCAACTCTACCTTCACGGTGATGCGGACTCCGCGAGAAGTCTGCGCTCCAGAGTGGGGCGTTCTTGGGCACGGAATGCCACTCCCGTCCAGGCCAGCGCGCCGATGCGATGGGTCAAATTATGGTCTGGGAATTGGGCGTCTTTGAGGCTATGCCCAATTTGTTGTACTAATGCATTCTACACAAAAATTTGACATCATGTACAGAACTTGTAGGTGGTACTGCAGTCTGATTTTCAACCAAAAATGCCAAGGCCTGACATAATTGTGGTCACTCAATGAAACGCGTTCATTTA